TATTTTTTTATCACGTGTATACAAAGTAATTAAATTTTAAAATTTACCAATTGGGGTGATGCATAACATTTGGGAGCCACTGTATGTCAAAAATGATTTTTAGGCTAAAATATGTTTATTTTCCTGGTAGTTACCCCCTTTATATTGCAAACGCCCCATATATCCAAAAATAGGTTCATTACATTTATAATATCCTGCTTTTGGATTCATTGGAGATTTCATTATTTTTGAATATTTGATTTTTTATTCTTTTTTGGGATTAAAAAGAGGTAAACATTCTTTTAAAAAACAAATAATTCAAAAAGAGATATAATGAAACTAAAGGGAATGAAAATATTTACCAATATTCAGTAATGAATAAAATCACTTAAAAATACACTTCATCTTGCGCTTCAGCTCTAGCTTCCCTACAAGCTTTAAATTCCAAACATTTTTCAGACCTTTTTGCGAACAAGATACAAACCGATATTTTTTCATTATCTTTTGTAAATGTTTCCATTTGATAATGCAGTTTGTTTGGTTTTCAGCCTATTGACAGATAAACTTTTTATTTTCGTTAGAGAAATCACCATGACTGCTATAGAATCTAACTTTTAAAACGTTCAATAAATATTTGAAGTGCGAGGTAAGGGCATTTCTACGCTTTACCAAGAAAGTTTTATCATTATTAAAATGCTTCTTACGCTAAATAAAAAAAAATTAATAAAAATGATATATATATATATTAAATAATTTCTTTCATTAAAATAGTTATAATTATTTTTTTCAACAGTAAGTATCAATTATTTAACATAAGCACATATTTGTTTCGTTTTATAAAAACTTTCGGGGGAAATAACATATCGAGCAACTGTTATAATTGAAAGGAAAAAATTCACTCTCCGAATTTGAATCAAAATAAAACATTCGGGTATTTATTTATTTAACCTTCAGTAACACTACATATCCATTCAAATTATGCAATACGTTACAGTTAACATTTCATTCTTTCAAATTTAGGCTGGAATTGGCCATAATGCAGCTTAATATGTCAGTACTGAAAACGATTGTATACATAATAAGAGATGGCGTTTCATTTAATTGATTAATGAGTTTGGGCCTAATTAAAATCAGTAGAAATTAATACCGTCAAGCAAAAACCATTATGGAGAGAATTTAAAGAATTAAAAAGAAATAATAAAAATAAAAATAAAAATTGGTCAGTTCGTTTACATGGATAATTACATTTTAGCAGATATACAAGTTGAAGATTGCAATATTATGAATATGTTCTAAATTAAAATAAAACTAAAAAAACTTGAAGGTAAGTTTCAATTATTTGATTTGTTAATTCTTTGAATGATTAACGTTAAGTGCTATTGAAGATTTTTTAAAAAAATTATCCGATGCTGGAGTATTCTAAATGACAAATTATCTATTTCAGGTATAAATCTGCAAATTCAATAAATCTTTCTTTGTTTGTATCATATTAGGGATTTCTAATTCACAGTTTCTAGTTACAGACAACTTTCTATAAGTGCCTTTGAGGCCGTGCATTTGCGAGAATAAAACACAGATCTAGAACGTGCGTGTCTCGTTACAATTGAATATCTCAAGCTATATTAGGACTCCGAGATGGGTGGTCTAAATTAAGCTTTTTTTGTTTTTTCGCTACTTTAATTATAAATAAAGCTATTGACCTAAATCTGGAAATGAACTACTCAAAACGAAAAGCTTTGCGTAGAGACTTTTTATAAAAGAGCTTTTTGAAGAAAATTATCTTTCATTGGTAACTGAAGTTAATATGTAAGTATATTTAAACTTAGTTAAAGTTACCATTATTTAGTGGCTTTCGTAATATTGGTAATGATTATCACGCAACTATTTAATTATACATTAACTAATATTTTATTTTATTTATCTAGTGTCTAATTTTCGCCAAAAGACGATTATTAAAAGAAACGATATTACACAATAATAATTTAAAAAGACCCGGCCGGTAGTATATTTATCGAAATTCGATTCTCGGCATTACAGTAAATATTATCCGTAAAACTCGGGTAAAACTATAATCGGGTTCGAGTTATGTAATTCTGACCCGAATATCTTTTACAAATCAAATGCACACTCGGTCCGACCCAACCCAACCCGTTCGGAGCACTAAGCAATTTATATATTTTATAGCGTACTTTTCAAAAATGGGAGAGTTGTTTTAATTTATATATATAAAAATGAAATATATTTTTTTCAATTTAATTGTGTTTGACTCATAAATTTATTTATGTTATGTTTTACAAAAAGTTCGTTACTTTATGATGACGTAACTGTCTAGAAACCTGATCTCTTTCTTGTTTTGATAAGTAAAAAAAGTCCGTCTTAAGAATAACTTGGTTTATTAATTCAGTAGATACAATATCATAAGTTTCTAATTTTTATTTAAAGATATTGAATGTCAAAATATACCTTGTGAGGTAAAATTTTGTGAATATATTTTTATAAATCACATGATCTTATTAATGTTGGTAAAGATGATAAATTTTATATTAGTTCAAATGCTCAACCGAATGAATCGATCGTTAGCGTTAGAAATGGCAAAAGTTTAAACCTATATTTCGAGTTTGATGACTTTCGACGATTTATTATAAGTTTCGATTATAATGGTTTCAACGGAATCGTCGAAACCTCTCACAGCCTTAAGTTCAAAGGCTCAATAATTAAGATACAACGTATATTTACATTGATTTTGATGTTAAGTCTTAATGCAATTCGAGTTAAAGATCCCATATATGGGCATAAGGGAAGAAACTGCCGTAAGAATCAAAATTAGTTATCATGCAATTATGTATTTTTGTTCGGGGTGATTGCATCCGAACTCGGTATTAATTTATTTTAATTCTTTCAAACAGTTTCCACCTCCCTTTCTATATAAGGAATGTCAAATGTTATCGCTTCACAAATGTAATGGGAGGATCCTGAATGACTTTTTGATTTAACTAGTTTGTCGTCCCGTATTTACAAATTATTAATATCAGAAGTTTTGTGATTGTGATATAACTGTGATAATTGGACTGAGGATAATATTTAGGTTTCGAAATCCAGCCATGTTCAAATTTTGTGATGTTAAAAGTTGTGATATAGTTTCGATCCGACTAAACATAATCTTAAAATATTTCTTCTGAGAATTCAACCATTGCTGATTCCATCACGAAACTTCTAATAATGTTAATGATTTCTAACCTTGAAAATTAATAGATCGTTAATCATTACTTTAAATTCTCAATTGTCCATTCCATTTTTTTGATCATGAATGGTTCTTCTCATTAGTCCTTTATCATCTCACCAACCTAATTTTTCAGTATCTTGATCTCGAAGATTTCCTATTTTTTTTTTATCTTACATACCACAAAAATTTGTAACACTATTGAATTAAATAATCATCTTAAAGTAAATCAATAATAGATGACCTTTTCCAAATTCCTAGTATTCATTTAATAGTAGAAGAAATATTAGCCCGAGAGATGTCAATAACATCGATTTTAGTATAATATTTTATGCCTCACCTCGCTTTTGCTTGGAGATAAGAATTCCAGCCTCCTAGCCCTCCTTAAAATGTAAAATAAATCATTTGGTATAAGACTATACAATTTTCAGATGTGATACCATTGCGCAGTACACATGTCATTGTTTGTTGAAATGATTCATTTGATACTAAATCAAATTAAGGATTTAATAAAAATAATCAAGAATACCTTTTTTTTTGTCATTATATTCATTATGAGACGTTTATTATTAGGTTACCTATTAAAAGATAACTCCGAATAAAAAAGTCGAGCAATAAATTGTAAACAACACATCATAATTGTTTTTGTAATAAAGAACGGCTTTTTCACTGTCCGAAATGTTTTTCCGTATTGATGACTAATTCAGGGATTTCTATTACATATGGTTGGAATTCTTCATAGATGAACAAAAATATCCAATATTAATTTTAAAAAGAAATCATACTCGTTATATGGTTTTTTTTTTAATCATGTGATTGGGCATGTGAAACGAATAATCAGTATCACAACAATTCGGCTTAAATGGATTGTTATTTTATAATAAGTTCTCTTTAGATTGGATTGTAAAGAAGTCGATAGATTAAAAGGTGATATTCTAGAAGATCTATCTATTTGGACAATACAACCCCATATTATCAATGATTGTTAACCCATATGTTGACGTATCCCATGATTAATAAATACAAACAAAAAAAATCAATAAATTACTTGCTGAAACCTTTTTTTATAAATTAATTTTGTAATTTGGAAATACAACTACAAAGGTGAAACAAATTTTTTATCAAATAACTTATTATAGTAATAAATATGGAAGTTTTCCTAATTACTTCCGAAAAAAAAAAAACAAATATATTAACCAAAATAATTTTTTCCCACTTAAAATAAAATTTTTTTTTTTTATTTTAGATAAATATGACAATAGTTCTCTTAATAAGAAAAGTTCGAACGTATTTCATAATACTAATTTTCCTATACCTAATAATTACAAATGACTTCGTATATTGTAAAGGAGGAGGAGGCAAAGGTGGAAACGCTGGTGGAAGTGATGGAGGAGGAGGAAGCAATACTAGTAACAAATCCAATGGTAATTCAAGTCCATACATAGGTAGCGGCGGGAAATCCTCATCTTCTTCTAGCAATTCTAAATGGGTGTTCTATTATTATGGCGCAAATGGAAGTCGTTCTTGCGGAAATTTATGCATAGTTACTGTTGTGTTCGTAATAATATCTATAATATCGGTTATTGGATGTGGAATTTTGCGTTGTTATGGAATAAGAAGAAGATCTAGAGCCGAACTTGCAGAATTAGAAAATAATAGAATTGATTTTGGTGAACATAAAAGTAATTATTATGGATATAACAACAAGACGTATTATAATAATAATAGCAGACCTCCCTCGGCTTATGCCTCTACATCCGTAATTCCAATAACGTTTCCTGCTCCAATTCACGATGCTCCATATAATAAATTGAAACCTTCCAGAAGTTTTGATTCTATGGATGAGATTATACAAAAGAAAAAATACTAAATTACGAGAAACAAAGTTTATGGCTAATAAAATTCATGTTGAATAAAAGTAGAAAGGGAAAATTTATTATCAATTTGTTTATAATCATGAAAAAAAAAAAATCTTTATTGTATATTTTAATTTTTTTAAAAAAATATTTATTTATATATTAATATATTTGGGTAAGTACCAAATTTTTTTATTATTACATCTTTATCATTATTATTACATCTTTTTATTTATCACAAAAATTATTAGATCTATAAATAGATAAAATGAATCAAACAAAAAAAAACCTAAAAAAAAAAATGAGAAAAAAAAATTATTATTAATCATATTCATTTATTAATGTATTTATATAATTTAGCTTTAAGAATTATATTTTCAAGCTTATACTTTTAATATTATTATTTTTATCTGTAAATATTTGAAGTATTATTTGAGAATAAAGCGCAATTTATCGCAATTTAACAAAATAACTATTGTATTTTATGATTTAGATCCATTGCTTATTTAAATTATCATTCTTTTGAATTAATTACATAAACTTAATTTCTGTAAAGATAGTTTTATTTAATAATCTAAAAACAATATATATATTATAATTTACAATTTCTTATTTTAAATAGCTAAAAGTGAACTTTTATTTAAATATTCATACATTTACAAAACGATTTGAAAGTGATACATGTGCTTGGAAAAAAAAATCAAGTCCGATTTTTGGAAGAACCCCTTTGATTGCTTAATAAAATAGGTCCACCGGGACCATAGCCTCTAGCGTCTTTATATAAAAAAGAATTGGGGTCATTACCAAAATTAATCTCGATGACACAAGGACCACTAGCGCCAATAGTAGGAAACCAAATATGCCTTATATCAGTAAAAGCAATTTCCAAGAATTCCCCATTTTTGGTAAAAAAAACATGACCAACGGTAGGATTATAACCACAACCAACAGTATCTCCTTCCGTCCAATCAGGACCATAACTCGTTGCAATATTATTATCGTTATATTTGTAACCATTAATAGAATGATAACCAACAGAATATAAATTCAAACCAGGTAATCTAAAATAGGGATAAGGCTTGGTAGCCAAACCAATTGAAATATTAGTATCACTATTCTCCAATATAGTAATTTCATAATAATGCAACATTTGTCCTTGTCTATGCGAAATGCTCTGAGGTTCTTCAAACATTTCCTCTGAAAAATTAACTTGATCACCTTCTTGTGCGTTAATGCCCGGCACAAAACATGGATAATTAGTTTGTATACTAACATTCATATTCTTTAAAAACTTTATGATTTCGCCTTCGTTACTGATCGCAATGGTTTGATCTGCTAACATCCATTCTTCAGCGATCCACTGCCATGCTCTTGCGCCTCCAACGCTTTGTATATAGTCAATATGATCAGGAGGTGGTAACTCTTCTTGTGGTGGATATTCTCGTGTAAATTTTTCTGCTTCTTCATATTGTTCATCAATATGTGTTATATTCGAGTCTCCTTCAGCGTAATCAATATGTATTTGAGGGATTTTTAGAGGAGATTTAAAACCTCTTGCATGTATGATGCTCGTTTTAGAACGAAAAATCCAATACCAAATATAACTAATACAAATTATTATATATAATATGCTTAAAATGATTAAGACAAGAATACAAAGGTAAGCACATTGTCGTTCTCCATTCGCCTTATAAGTCCAAAATACCCATCGAGATCCTCCGCTATTATTTTCGTCCCTTTTGAATGTTGTAGAATTACAACTGTAATTGCTTAATAATATTAGTGAAATTAAAAATTTATATATGATTTTTTTGAAAATGTTACTTGATAAGTTTGCTTTGAATTTCATATTTATAAAAAAAAGGGGGCCAAACAAACGGAAGGATTGTCTAGCATGTCGATATTTGTGTATCTTATATATATAAGTTTAAGCATTAAGCGGTTTCAGTCGTGGCGCAATCCGATTTCTCGAGAGAATTTAAAAGCCCTTTTTAATATATTATATTGCCTTTGATTGATGCTTATGATGCTTATGAATTAATTAAAATTAAGCTACAATTGCTAAATACTTTAAATTTTCGTTTTGAATATACGGTGAATTCCGATTTCATAAATATAAACAAATAAATCTAGTTTTTCTTATAATAATAATAATAATAATAGACATCGCCTTAAAAATTTATAAATATGGCAAATGAATTTCATTTAACCAAAAATGAACTCCAAAAAATAATAAAATAAAAAGAGAGTGAATCCATTTAATTCATGTACAATTAACACTACGAACTCTAAAAAGTTATAATTGTCAACCGCTTCGATTCATGATTCTCAATTTAAAATGGAAATTCCGATTTGGTATCGATTTACGTTCAAGTCATAATTAGTGGCAATAGTAGCAATCGAATATAAAATGTAAAGAACGTAAGCCGCAGTGGCTTCGAAATTATGTAGCTGATTAAAACCACTTTTAATAAACACAGCCAAATTTATTTATTATTTTTTAATGTTGTAAACATTTTTCGAGTTCTAAAAAGGTAAGATTATATAGAATATGTATATATGTTGATTTTGATTTTAAAATTCCTTGAATATCTGAATATGGTGGTTTAAGAATACACAAAGACGTATCCTTAATGAATAACTTGATTTTAATTTACTTTTCGTGGTAAATGTGGCTTTGATTAGTAAAATTCAACGTAGCACAGAACCTTGACATACGTTCTGTAGTTTTCGATTTCAACTTTGTTAAGAAAAGGTTATGTATCGCTATGCGAATAATTTTATATTTTATGAAATAAAATCAGATTTAAATTATACCTTTCCAAGGCTGTGTAACGGAGTCGGGTTTATATAATCCATAACCAAATCATAATCCAGTATTTTTCCGGGTGGCTTATTACATTAAAAGCTCCTTTTTATCCGACAAAGCAAGTGACTCAGGAAATTTGTGGATTATGGACGTTTTCTCTATCTTTCCGTAAAATTTCGTTACTTTGACAAAAATTAAACTAGCAGAATTCCGATTACGTATTTATTTTCTTATTACATTGTATTACTTTACTTATTTGTTAACAAATAAATACTATTTTGACTGATTCTATGAATATAGCTTCGTACAGATTATTTCCAAAATTATATAAATTAATTATTATAAGCCTCAATTAATCCCAATTAATTACTAATGCATTGTTAGCATACTTGTAAAACTAAACATAATTGAGATCATTAAATTAATATATAACGTTATTGACAATATTAAATTTACTTATTTTAATAAATATTTATAATAATTACTGATTTATTTCATAAAAGTACACGTAATTTTGAGATTTTATGGCGGATTTCATTTTTGAAGCAATTACACGTTTAATTTTGACTTGATGCATTTCATATATTCAATTTTTTTTTGCACCTTCTTATGTAAAATCAGAACCGGAATAGATAAAAAAAAAAAAAAAAACAATATTAACCTCTGGTGAAATTGATTTTAATTAAAATTGACCTTTTTTATTTATTTCTGTAATTTTCCGATTTTCATATACATATATTCAGGTTACAATGACTAAGTTCGAGCTCATCTCTGCTGGGGCTTTGAGCCCTTAACTTTGATCTATAATAAGGTGAACATAATGGGATATATTTATTCGTATGCTGATACCGTTTCAATCGGACAATTGGTCGGTATGAGCATTTTGTGGTACTATTCGTATTAAGTTTTGACGATTTATATTTTACAATATTTCATACCTAATTGAATCCTATCAAATTTCATGCGTTCTTAAAGTTAATATCACCAGTTCTAGGAGGATTCAAATCATGAGTTATTAAAAATCGATTCTGTTAAAGATGTGTAAATTTAATATTTTAAAACTATTTCACATCGCCTTCCATAGAAGAAATTATTGCAACGAACCCTGTACAATGGAAGACAAAGTACAGTATCTTTATAAATATCACGGGTTATATTATTATATTATTTGTCTTTAAAATATGTAAACGTTTGTTTTGAAATTTTCTCGGGAAAACTTTATAAATAAATATTCCCTCCCAAGATATAATTTGTCCCAAAAAACTCGGACGCAAATAAGAAAGAGAAATTTGACTTTGGTTTTCTTCTCCTTAAGGTAAGAAGGTCGGATATGTCGTGAAGTAGAACATGGCACTAGTATATATCGACTATATCTCATATTTTGGGAACATCGTTATGCTGATCAAAGTTTTCATGTGGCAAAGTAAATCGCGACTTGCTTCGTGTGTCACCTTTTATTTGATACAAATTAACCATAATTTTTCTTGTTTATTTCAGCAGTACTAAACTCCAAACGGAGGTGAACAATTAAAGAGATTTGGGGATGAAAATATTTTCGTTCTATAAATTTTATTTATGTGTAAGAATAAGTTAAGTGTGTATTACACTGATCCTGGCTGCATAATAAAAAAATCGGTAATAAATTAAGGGTAAATGCTTTGTCAGTCAGTTCATTTACCAGTTTGATTGTTTAATTTTCAATTAGTTTTTTTTAGAATAAGTTGCTGATTCGACATGGTTAACTTCAACTTCAAATGTAGTTTAGTTAATACCAAAACTAGTTTTGTTTAACCGAAACCAATTTTTAGTAGTTTAGGATAGCATCTTTAAATACTACAATTAAAAATATCAAATCAACATTATATTAGTTTAGCTAAAATTTTAGAAATATTTAAAATATCAAAAAATAAATTTGACAATATATTGGTAATGATATTATATCAAATAATTTAATAATTTTAATAATTTATTAATTTTAAATTATTTTTAAAGTCAGAAATACGCTTATGTGTGTTGCCATTAAAAATTTATTTTACCATTAAATATACATAAAGATCAAGGTATAAATAAGCCTTATTACAAATTTATTGAAAATATATATCTTATATTATTTGTTTAATAATTAAAAAATATTAATCATATTTTGAATTTTGTATTTTGTATTTTGTATTTTTTAATTTTTAATAGTTTAAAATAAAAATAAAAATTTACTAGTTAGAGAAGAAAGTTGGCTTATAAAAGAACGTGTAAAAAAACACCTACAACATAAACGAGATTATAGTATTTGTAAAAATAAACATCTTCAAAAAAAAAAAGATAAAGCATTATAAAATACTAAGGCCATTACTACTATTAGTACCAATATCAATACCAACACTTACATCAACACTAATGTCAACACCAATATCAACACCAACACCTATGCCAACATCAATACTTATGCTAATACTAACATCTATAATAATACTAATATCAATACCAATATCAATACCAATGCTAATACTAATACTAACACCAATACTAATACCAACATCAATACTAATATTAATACTAATGCTAATACCAATATTAATTAGAGCTTTAAAAGGTTGAATCAGATCAGATAATTGATTTGACCTATCCTGGTAAGATTAGATCAGGTAAGACATAAAATTGATCTGAATTAAATATAGATCAAGTCATAAGTTAATCTGATCTGATTCAGAACTCTAATATCAATACAACATCAATACCAATATTAGTATCAATGTTAATATTAATATTACTCATATTATTAATAAGAAAGCAAAACTTTTAAAAGTTTATTTAGATTTAGGTAATACTTAATTTTTTTAATATATAATAATAAAAAATCCTTAGATTAATTTTATATTAATCAATATTAGAAAATGAAAATAAAAACCACTATCACTATTACCTCTAAGTTTTTTTTATCTTATGATAAAAATTTAATTAATAAAAAAATTCTTATTAATTCATATAATAATAATTATATATTAATTATATATTAATAAATATTAAAGAAAAAGAAAATAAAGTTCTTTAAGTAGTAGAAATTATATTAAAATTAAAAAAAATAAGAAATTTGTTTAAATTTTTATTATTTTTTTAAATATTTATAAAACTCAATTATTTTTATTTATTTTTTATTAATATTAATTCATATTAAATAAAAAAGAACAAGTAAAGAAATTAAAAAATAAATTTTTAATATTTTTTTTTTATTTTTTTTTATTTTTTATATTGATAATTATATAACTTAATAATTATAAAATATATATTTTAAAGTATTATTTTCATTTGTTTAATAATTATAAAATATATAGTTTATACATATAATTTCATCTATTTCATCTGTTTAGTAATTATAAAATATACATTTTATACATATTTTTTGAATATGTTTAGTAACTATAAAATATACATTATATATATTTTTTTTTTGAACATATTTAGTAATTATGAAATATACATTTTATACATATTTTTTAAACACATTTAATAATTATGAAATATACATTTTAAACATATTTTTAAACATATTTAGTAACTATAAAATATATATTCTAAACCTATAATTTTCATCCTTTTAATAATTATAAAATTTATTTATATTTTATACATTTTTTAAATACATTTTTTCACATTTTTATATTAAGTTTAAGTTTTTTACCTAATAAAAAAACATATATAATACATTGAATTTCCATAAAAATTATGTTATAAAACTTATAATTATCAAGAAAAATTTATATTAATTTTTTATTTAAATAGCATTATCATATACATTAAATATATTAAATTTTAAATTTTGATTGATAATACTAACATATCTATAATAATTACTAAGTTGTATAATAAAATACTGTTTAAATATTTCTAATCTTTTTAATCAATCTCATCCTCTGAATCAGTCTCAGAACTTAATGAATTTGGGTTAAATCTTCTGTAATATTTTTTGAAATTTTTGATATAGATATTTGGATTAATATGAGTCCTTTATAATAGAAAAGAAAAATACTGACAAAAAAAATAAAAAA